TGCGTATGTCTTTTTACATATACAAATTTTTGAATTCATGTATGTGAAAATATCTAAATTAGTTATTCGCTCTAAATTTTTAAAAATTGTTACTCCAGAAGTAGTTTCGAAAATTATGAGTTTGGATGCTCCGTTCGAATGAGTGTATCCACAAGTTATATATTTTCTCATGTTTGTTAATGCAAACATTGTTTCTTGTGTTGTCAGTGAATATGCTGTTTAAGATAATTCATTCATATAGTCAAATATTTTATCTGCATATCTTTGTTATCTTACAATACACTGTAGTCTGAAAGTTTACATGAATCAGCAGATACTGGATCTCAAAAGATATCTTCATCCTCTATATCGGGTGGCACTGAGTTCACAGGCTACTCCTGATCTTAATTGCACTCGATTAATCGAATGTCGACGATATAGTCTTGCAATATGATCTTGATACTGCCAAATACGACTACATCTCCTCAAGTTCCATAAAGATCCAAATAACTACAAATTCCTTCAATTTTCAGATGTCCTCCTAAAATTATTGGTCTTATAATAGCTTAATTCATTCAAAGATATTTTTTCTTTTAACTAAAGTAGTAGTTATTTAATTCTTCTTCAAAATAATATACAAAACATTATCACAAAATTGCGTTATCTTGCTCAATTTAAGTGTTATCACAAAAAATTAAAGAGTTAATAAAATGAAAAAATTTATCTTACAAATCTAAATTTATTTTTCTTAGAAAAGACTTAAACTTAATAGTATTCACAACGTTCATAATTTACACGATTATAATTCAATCGCATATACATATACACACGCTAGATATTTTAACTCTCATTGGGAGTGCTTCTTATTTTTCTTATTTTTCTAAATATTCATATTTTTTAATATAATTCTAATTTTTTTTATTAATATGTTATTTTTCTGAATATTACATTTTTTATGTATTACATTCTTATTTTTTTAAATATTACATTCATATTTTACTACTATGTTATTATATCGAGATTTAGCAGTGTCAAATGTTCTTACATGAAAAATTTTTCTATTTAAATTAAATTTTTTTATTTTATACAGTTAACTCTTTAATTTTTTGTGGTACACTTAAATTGAGCAAGGTAACGCAATTTTGTGATAATGTTTTGTATATTATTTTGAAGGAGAATTAAATAACCACTATTTTAGTTGGAAGAAAAAATATCTTGGAATGAATTGTGATATAATAATTTCATTTAAGAGAAATTTAAATCATTTGGATTGGAATAGGAAGATCCTTCAATAAAATATACGTATATTTAAGTTTACGTATACTTAAGTCATTGTATAAAAATTAAAGATAGTACCATTTGGATTAAGTAAATAATAAAGATAGTATCACTTGGGTTTTATTTTTTATTTTGATAATAGAATTTAATTTAACTAGTATCACAGTTGTTGATCAAATCTTTTATACAAATGATACATATCATTAGATTAATATTCATTATTAATTTAATTTGGTATGATATAAAGAAATGGGATTTAACTTGGCCATTTCTTGATATCTTTTATAGGAATGATATATATCATTAAAGTTATTTATTTAATTTGATATCTCTAAATTACATGGAATTTAACTTGGCGCCAACTGTTGATGTCAAATTTTTTTTACAAATAATACATAAAATTTTTGGTGCCAATTTGTTAATATCAAATCTTTTATACGAATGATACTGTTCAAGAGTAAGAGAGAGAGAGAGAGAGAGAGAGAGAGAGAGAGAGAGAGAGAGAGAGAGAGAGTTTGAGCGAGAAGACATTTTCGATCGAAAATTCAATCAATGCGAATGTTCACGTGACAAATCACAATTTTATTTAGAACAATTCACAGAATTGATAATTTCACAAAAATGTGTAACAAATTTTAAAATGATGAATTCAAGTACAGCACAAATAAACGCGAATGGAAATCTACGTTTCCTTTTTACAGGCAATTCTTTCGGATTTCTGTAACGAGTCGAACGCGGGCTTCTTTCGGCGGAGCGTCTCAGAGGCGATTGATCTAGATTGCGGAGCGTTAACTGCGACTAAGGCGTTGATCACCGCTCGATTCGGCCTTTTATTGATTTGAATAAAGGCTCCTTTCAATTGCCTATGAGATTCTCCAAAAATATGAATTTTTGATCACCTCATGATTCGGGCAGCGATTGGCAATTTTTAACGACGATGGCCAAACGGCACATTATTACCATGCGTGTCTGTAAAATCAGCGGTTATGATTGGGGTGTTAGCGAATTACGCGTTTCGCGTCACGCGAGCGCACGAGCGCTGTGATCGATCAGAATTGTAATTGCCGTATTTAACAATTGGTTTTTGTGTACGTACAATATGCGGTTTTGATTACACTTTTGACTTCAACAAAGAAAGATGATTGTCAATTTCATTTGGAAGCTTCTAGAATAATTTTAAAGAATATAGTATTTCTAGACGTTTGTAAACTACGTGCCGTACATACATTAATTCCGTAAAATCGGCTTTACGGATGCTAATCTCGAATAGATACACATTATTAGAGTTAAGTAAATAACAAGAGATAGTACCATTATTTTACTTTTTAATTTAATAGAATTTAACTTGATTAGCTAAGATTGTAGCATTTGGGTTTTAATTTTCCATTTAATAGATTAATTTTTTTCGAAGAGTATTAATTTTTGACAGAGAATTAAAGCCATTACTTAGGTTGAAATAAGAAGATCTTTAATAAGAATATCTTGGAAGAAAAATTAAAACTGCTATATTAATTGGATTGAACACTTAGATTTTATTCGAGAACGTATACTTAGCGCCTTTTCTTATCTTTTTTAAAAAGATAAGTTTGTCATGCATTTTGTAGCGATATCAAAACGATAGTCATCTATATATGTATCATTTAGATTTTACGATTTAAGTTTTATAAATGATACATATCATTTACAAAGTAAATTAAAAAAACCCACCACTATCCTCATCATCTTATAATAGTAATATCAGATTATTAAAATAAATATCAATGATGGTCATCTATATATTGTATACAAAGGACCGTTTTCACCAACTCGATTAAACCGAATCGATGATTAATTGTCAACCATAAGTGGTCAATTTTACTAAATAATGATAACATAGAATCGATATGGCCAAAATTCCATTTATGCGATGAACAACAAAAAATTCCGAACAGAATAATAACATACGCCGAGTCTTTTTAAAGTTTTCTGAGCGCGTTCATCATAGCTTCATAGACATGGAAATGGAAGAGAATGGAGAAAACTGATCATGTGACCCCCCGATGTTTCCTAGTTGCTGTCATTTACGTGATATAATTTGCCACTCTCTCATAGTGTGCTCAGTTGGACGGTGTCTTTCTTTAAATCTTCGCCGTCTCTGTCTATAGCCTTGTATCCACGATGCTAAAATCGGTCCGAGACCTTGAATGAAAAAAGAAAGAATTGACCAATCACAATGGTCATGTGATCAAATTATTCAAATGTGATTTGTTAATTTTTTCTCTGTCCGAGATCTCAGATCGATTTCAGATCAATTAGCATTGTAAACATCGAGCTTAAGGTGCCTTTTCATACAGACGTTCAACGCTCATTTTCGGCGTCAAAATAAGTCACGTGATAGAAATTGACGAATGTCAATTTTGATTATATAATTTCCAGTATATAATTTCATTTCTGTTCGACTTTCTTTTGTTAAATATTAATTATAAATAAATAGAGATAAATCGATTTTAATTATTATTTCTTAACTTGGTTAACAAATATCAAAGTAATATAACAATGACGGTTCTGGGCTACGAATACAGCCACCTGAGCCATCTAAAAAATATCCGCGGTTTTTTGTTCAATTTTTGAATGAAATTTTTCTTTATTGAAAATCAATTTTAATCAAGTATATATTGGCCATTATTATCTATAATCCTTTTGCCATTTTTCGGGTAATTTCATAATTCCATCCGTGTAGAACTTTTGTGGTTTATCGGCGAAAAACTTTTTCAAGTGATTTTCGGCAGCTCTTTTGTCGGCCAATGTTTTTCCAGAGAGTTCTGCAGAGATCGAAACAAATGGTAGTCAGATGGTGCAAGGTCCGGGCTATACGGTGGATGCATCAAAACTTCCCAACTAAGTTCCCTCAATTTTTGGCGCGTCATCAAAGATGTGTGTAGTCTGGCGTTGTCATGATGGAAGACAACACCTTTTCTGTTAATCAATTCTGGTCGTTTTTCCTTAATCGCTTCCTGTAATCTATCCAGTTGTGAACAGTAGAACTCTGAATTAATCGTTAGGCCATGTGGTAACACCTCATGATGGACGACTCCCTTCCAATCCCACCATCCAAATCGAGTTCCTTGGCTTAGCCAGCCTTTTTCAAATGATTCCAAACTGTCATATGATTGATTCTTAGTGCATTGGCTATCTCCTGACAGCTTACATGCTGGTCTTGCTTAACCAGTTGCAAAATTTCATCGACTTTTTCAGTGACTGGCCGACCAGAGCGAGGTCGATCTTTGACATCAAAATTTCCCGA